ATTAAAAATTTTATAATAATATTAGTTAATAATTTGAAAAAAGGTTAAAATTAAATATAAGAAATAAGTGTTATTGTAAAGTACTTCTACATATTCCATATACATTGGAAGATAAATAAACATCATGTGAATCTTCATATAATGTTTCCTCATTTGTAAGAATTTTTAATTTACTTAGGTGAAATTAGAAAAAAGTTCTGTGATATTTTCAGACCTAAAATTATATTTTGGACTCACATCATTCAACTTTATTTTTAGTTCTTCTTCCAAATTAAGCACATAGTGCATACAGTAGGAACCAACCAGTATTCAAATTATAAATGAGCTCAGTTTAAATGTTTGTGCCTTATGTCTGGATAGAATTTTCAAATTTTTTCTAAGCACATTTCCTTAATTGGTAGATTATTCATGCTTTTCTAGTACAAAACTTGATTGATAAGTTTATGAAAAGCATAAATGTATCTTTATGCACATTTGCAATGCAGATGTATTAAAATAACCAAGAAACATTCATCTTCTTGTAAAGAATTATTCACTTCTGAATGGACAGTATCATATTATCTAGAATTTTTGTCATTTTTTTTTCACTCCATACGAACTCCCAAATCTCTTGTAAAGATGTAATTTGGAAATTTTCACATTGGGATGAATAATTATGAATCCCTTAAAAATGAATAGTTTCTAAAAGTGAGTATTGTTCTACTTGGAATTTACAAAGTAATAAAAGACATTAGAAATGAACACACACACACACACACACACACACACGAATATATAATTCAAACCCAAAGGGATTAGCTATGAAAATAACAACTGAGTTTGATTTTATTAACAGGAAAGAAAACATTTTAAAAGTAGAGTCTCATTATTTTTTTAAACATCATTGTTCCTTAGGATATCCTGCTAAATTGTTATGTGTGATAAGATTGAAGTGGGGGGGAAGGCTTGTCTCACAGAGACATCAATCTTACTGATGTTCACTTATTAAAAAGTGTCTTAAAATATGAGAGGAATTATGAAATGTGATGAGAATAAAATATCATGTTTTGTCTTTAGCATTTTAAAATTAAAAAAAAAAACTTCCTTCATTTATACTTTGTTTTTGGATCTATTATTCTAACTGATTATATGTTGTTATAACTGTCGGTACATTTTATCATACAACTGCTATGAAACTAATCAGTAACTTTTCTGATTCAGAAGTTAAATTTTTCTTTAGAAAACCACTGTAGTTCCTTGTAACTCAATTAAAACATAAGGGTCTTTAAAAATTAGTAACTACTCTTTGTAGGTGTTTGAAAATAATGACTTTAGAGTAGTGACGTTAGCTTGCCCCTTCTGACATTTGTGGCTGTGTACCTTACCTAATTCTGGCAGCAGTTGTGTTCTATCCACCTCTTCACTCTAGCTCTTCCTTTTCTGTGTGTGTTATCTTTTCAAATCTCCTTCTCACTTTGTCTTACAGGAACACTTGTGAGTGAATAAATCCTGAAGTGGGTGATTTCCTGATCTCAAGATTCTCAATTATATATGTGAAAAGCCTTCCTTTCCCAAATAAATTAACAATATCATGTTCCAGTAATTAGAAAAAGACATACATTTTCATGATCAACATGTAACTCATAGCAGGAGGATAAAGGAATTTCTTGTATAACTCTTGCAACTTTGTAGAATTAGCCTAAAATCATTTTAAATAAAATATCAAAACAAAACATACATGCACACATATATATATATGTGTGTGTATTATATTGACAAATAGTATAGTAATTCCAATACTGGGGTAGCTGATGAACTTTATTCTACTTATTTATTTATTTATCCAATTATTTATTTTGAGACAGGGTCTTGCTGTGTAGTAGTTCAGGTAAGGGTTGAACTCACTATGTAACCCAGACTGGCCAAAAGCTTCTAGCAGTCCTCTGGCTCAGCCTCCCAAGTGCAGAGATTACAGGTGTGTACCATCATGCCAAGTTGAGTGAACTTCCTTTTAAAGAATAGCTTTAAAAATATATGCAGAATCAATTGAAACAAGGTATTTTGTGAATTTGTGCTTCATAATCTTTCACACTTTGAAGTCACTGTGATGTCGAAAGTGCCATAATTTCTGGTCCCTCAAGTTCTGCCTTAGTCTTCATTGAGCATTTAGAATATCAATGGTCACTTTTATTTAAAAAGGAAGAACTGGGCCGGGGAGATGGCTCAGTAGAATAAGCGCTTGCCTGGCAAACACAAGGGCCTGAGTTCAACCCCAGGTTCTGCAAAAAAAAAAAAAAAAAAAAAACTTAAAAAATTAAAAAAAAGAAGAACTGAGTTCTCCACCTTACAATCTGTGTAAGAATAAGAGGCTGTTGATGATGTTAACTGCTATGAAATGACTAGTTGTTTCTTAACACAGTATTGATGCCCAAAGGAATATTTTTTGGTTTGTTTGAACTTTAATTAGTTTGTCTTCATTGTGTGGGACCGGTGGTAGAGCTTAGTGGCATAAGTGCCTGCCTGGCAAGCACAAGGCCCTATGCCTGAAGCCCAACACAAACAAAACAGAGCAAAACAAAACAAAAACAAAACGTGTGTATTGGTCTTAAGCAGCCTCCTTTTCCTCTCATTTTTTAGTGTTCAATGTGCCCTAAATTTGATTGTTTCTTACCTATCTATTGAGTTACAGTGGATTTATGGAATATTACCACTGTGGGAAAGGAGAATCACACACATTCCTACTCAGGGAGAGTTCTTTCTCATAAAGCTGGAGCCATGAGGACCACCAAAGTGGTGACTATCGTGCTTGCTCCTGCACACCCCACACACACATACCCGCAGAGTTTTAGTCCTTTACTTGGATGAACAGTGTACACAGAAGCAATGATAGAAGGTGAAACACCTTGCTAAATGCAAAAATGAACGAGTTAACAATTGTTCCCTGTTTTCTATATGCACTCTTGAAACTGTCAGGTTCTGTTTTTTGCCTTCTGTGTCAAGTATATATCAGAATATTTATTTTAAATAAATATTGACTCCATAAATGCAGATATACTGTGTGACTTACTAATTTAATTACCATAGAAAGCTAGTAGTTTAACACAAATGCATCGAGTAGTTGTGGGATGGTGGGACTTACTCTCTAGTGTGTGGATCTGTGTATGTATATATATGTATATTGATTAATTTTATTTCTTGGCCTGTCTTAAAAAATTGTGGATCCATAGATGTAAGACTGACAGCATCCTCAGGTGGTCATGTGGTTCTGTGAATTTTTTCAAGAGACAAGCAATTACTATTTCCATGATCTATTAAGCCACATTTTCTTTAGCATTTGACAGCTAAGGTGATGCTGATCAAAAAATATTGCCCTCCATTCTTAAACAATTTTGCATGCACATAGATGTTTAACATGCCTTTTTGTCAAAGCTATTATAAGAAAACACTAGCAGCCTTGGTCTGGAGGAGTAATTTATGATAGCCTGTTAAATGATGTCCAAGATCACCTTGTTCACATTAGCCAGTGGGTCCCTCCACCCCTCCACTGCAGTCTTCTCTAACCCTGGTGACAGGGGTGATTAAAAAAGTAGCAACCCTCTGAGTCCTTCTTTAGTTGCTAACTGTGTTTGCTTCTTGAGTGTGTACCTCCTGCCTGAGATCATGTCAGTAAGTTAACTACGGAGGGAGTGGACGGAGAGACTGCAAGGAGGTGAGAGCACGCAGGTAACAGGACACCTGTGTCTTCTCCAGCCCTACGGGACCTGTCTTCCCCTTGGGTTCATTAACTAGAAGCGTGGCAAGGTGAGGGAGAGGAACTTCACTTGTTCTGACAGTAGTGAGAGACAGGGAAGTGTGACACCTTCTGTAGCATTTCTGCCCCACAGAGAGGCAACTGGAAAATGTGCTGTGTGGTTGGGTGTTGTAATGAAAAATAAGAGAATGATCAAGGGGAAGAGTAGAATCAAATTATAAGCATAAGGCACCATGCTCAAGTTTTTAGCCACTTGTAAAATTGAGAGATACTATCAGGACTGAGCAAATACATCACTCCGATTAAATTTCCTGTGGTGAAATATGAAAATATTTATAAAACTGAAAATTCTACCCTGAATAAATTTTTCTTTGTGATTGTAATACACTAAAATAAGCCATAACTTGTATTTATTTAGTATAAAACAATAAATTGGTGAATGATGAATTCAGTAAAAATACCTCACTGTGAGTAATGTGCAGGTATTATTCTGAGTTGCTAAAATATTAAAGAATATTCAACCAACAAGGTAAAAGCTAATTTAGCTAAGAGGGTCTTAAAATTTTATTTTCTATATATTGTTATGGAAGTTTTTTTTTTATTACCTTTTCTTCAAACTTCTTTTTCATGTTTAAAAGATACAGGTTTTCAATATCAAAGTAAAAATAATTCTGTGTTCAGAAGAATTAAACCTTTAGCTTTAATGATAGTGAATAATTCTTTCATTATTTAGAAGGTGTTTGGATTCTAGTTTTTCTTTTCCAATGTGAATGAAAGATTGTAACTGCAGATTTTTGCTAAGTTTCTTAAGAATATATTTAAAGAAATCATTGATATAAAAAGGATTAATTAAGAAACATCCTGATATACAAAGCATTTCTCTTATATAAATCTCTAGAAATATTCTTTTGTCAATCCAAAGAGAGCAAACTAAAATGAGATAATTGGGAAGGTGCCCATAAAGTCAGCCTGAATATATTATCACAACTATATATGAGATAATATTTGTTTTAAAAAGATTCTATGGCACTGTAAACTCAGTCTCATTAGAGACTGCATTTAAAAGGCTTATAAAGTTACTCATTAATGTTATCTTGTTGTATCTCCACAGCTTTTTCATTAAAGAAAATTCAGCAGAAAGCATTTTCTCCTGATAGCAGGAACCAATTTGCAATAAATGTTCTGGAAACCACTGGGGAAGCCATTACTGAGGTCTAATAAAAACAGACAAGCGTAACTTGTTCTATATTTTTGTTTCAATCACATGCAGATGAGACCCCGCTTTCTACACCAACCGCAAGAGACAGCCTTGACAAACTTTCTCTAACTGGGCATGGACAACCACTGCCTCCAGGTTTTCCATCTCCTTTTCTGTTTCCTGATGGACTGTCTTCCATAGAGACCCTTCTGACTAATATACAGGTAGGCTGTTCACAGTCTGGGAGAGAGACATGGGCTGCACAGCTGTAGGTTTCTCTCCAAAGTTCATCCAATTCCATTTAATCCACTCATGAGATAGACTGAACCAGCTATTAAGCGTTTTTTTTTCCCCCTCCAGAAATTAAGCTTTTAAAATTGCTACACTCCTCGAATTGGCACAGAAATACTTAGATATGTATATTAAATCATAATGAAACTTAGATGAAAATGACATGGACATTTAAAAATGCATTCTGCCTAAAAGCTCCTTTCATTGCCTATTAATGGGACAAACTTAACTGTTAAAGTTTGTCAGATTTACTAAATGACAGTGCGCCAGTTCTAACAAATATTTAGATATTTTTAAACTGCTGGCCTTCCAGTGAGGAAATGATATGTTTAGTTATTTAAAATATGTGCAATATAAAAGAATAAAAAAAAATCACTTCTTTCATAAATAAGTTTGTTTCAATTAATAGGGTTTCTTCAAAGAATAGACTTCAAAAAGCTATGTCAAAGTTTCCACGGATTTCCTATGTGGTCTTCAGGATGTATACTTTATGTACAGTACATTATGAATCAAAAATACTTACAGTTAACAATAACATAGAGCATGGAGCCAAGATAATAAGATTGTTTGGGATAGAGAAAAGCACAATTTTCTTGCCCACACATGAAGGGTTCATGTGGACCCCAGATGGAGATTTTTGTCTTCTGTTTGACCATATTTGGGGTAACCAGAGTACACATGAGCCCAGAGACACTGTACTCAACAGATTCTTTGTAAAAACTTTTATTCCAACTGGCCTTCCTGAGTGATATTTTTCTGAACACACTTCTTACCATATTAAACTTTTTCCCAGTAGAAATGTAATTAATTTTATTTACTTCTCCAAGGACATAACAGAAGGCCTTTAATGTAACATATCTTCTCATCTATTAATATGGCATTTTTAATGCTAATGTAATTAGAGTTTCATAAAATGTAGTCAACATTAAGGTTTTATATCTCAGTAATGGAAACGACTCATCAGTGTAGCCCAAACTGAATTATGGTCAAATAATTGATTATAACTTGAAAAGAAAAATAAGACATTTTCCCCAAATTTCACTCACATGATTGTTTTTAATTAAGTAAAACTCCTAGTGATTTTTTTCTTTAATATAATTAAACATTTTCAGCAATGCTCATCACTTTACTGAATTTCAATTCTTCTTCTTCTTCTTCTTCTTCTTCTTCTTCTTCTTCTTCTTCTTCTTCTTCTTCTTCTTCTTCTTCTTCTTCTTCTTCTTCCTCTTCCTCTT